AAATGACAATAAGTATAGATAGAATCATATTTTAACTTATATCTATGGATTATTGCAGTTTGTTCTGAAACATGATGAATGGCGGTCTTTACGTGAAGTAGAACGCTTCCCAAGCTCTATATGTCCATCTAATCCACGAACTTTACCATTGGTAACATCTTTAATTCGTCAAATAGTGAGCTTTCATCCAGATATACAATACTTACACATAGGTGCTGATGAAGTCTGGCATCTTGGTCTTTGCTCTGTTTGTACCAAACGGGCTGCAGCTAGTAAACATGGGAAACCGTCTTTATACTTGGAGCACATTTTAGCAATTGCACAATATATACAAGAAACATATCCTTATTTGAAGATAATAATCTGGGATGATATGCTGAGGTCAATAGACTTTCAGGTGCTGAAAGGTATTTGAATTAATTCTATTTATTAAATGATCAATATTTTTTTTAATTATTGAAATTATATCATTTTTGATTGTAGAGCATTATATAGGGAAATATGTTGAACCAATGATTTGGCACTACAACCCTAGAGATAATTTTGCTCTACCTCAAGGTATAGCCTGATTTATTTATGCAAATAAATACAATAAAATTATAAATCAATGTTCTTCTCAGATATCTGGGACAAATATAGCGCTATATTTCCACACATTTGGGCAGCAACTGCATTTAAAGGTGCTACTGGATCTTGTCAACATATCCCGATAATTCGAAACCATATAAGTAATCATGAGAAATGGCTAGAAGAATTAGGCATTAATGTAAATAAAGTTCATGAATTTCGTGGAACAGCATTCACTGGATGGTCAAGGTAAATGTTTCGTAAATTATACGTAATAATAGTTTCTTGGAAATTATTTTTGTACTCAGGTATGATCATTATGCTACAATGTGTGAGTTGTTGCCTACAGCAATACCATCATTAGCACTGTGCTTAAAAGTATGGCTCCATGGTTACTCAGAACAAGTACATATTCAAGTTGCTAAGAGCCTAGGATACATAGATCATCCATTGCATATAATACCTCAGCCACGACCAGCATCAATACCAAATAATTTGTTGTTTCCTGGATGGCAAGTGGCAATTGGTATTGAGTGGTTTATAAATTTCAAAACTAAATATCACAATATTATAATCAGCGAGCAGTAAGTATAAGGAAGTTTGTAGAGTATATTAGCATTATTTGTTATATGAGTTTTATATAATATTATTTCATATATATACATATATATATATATATACATATATGCATCTTATATGAATATAAATTTAAATAGAATATCAACTTGGATGAATCCATGGCAAGTTGCTAACAATCATACAAATCCTATGCAATTGGAGAGTTTAATACCTGCATTTACAGAGTAAGTATTATAACGCTTTATAGCATAGCTTTGTTACATCAACATTATTGTAATTCATTAAAGTTTATATATAGTTTGTTATTGGAGTTATCATCTTTGGAGGGATATTTAAGAGTTCAAATGGAAAGTATCTTCTTTCCATTTATGATTGATGAATGGATGGGCACAAATCTTCAGCCAATGAAAGTAAAGCTTACAGAGTTGAAACAAATCACAGAAAACCAGCTTAAGTTAAGCACTCGCGCGTAAAATATATTGAGTATATTGTAATATGTTTATTTTTGATCTCGGAGAATAATTTTGGATATAAGTGATTCATAAGAAGTAGAGCATAAGAAATATATAAGAAAGTAATAAGAAAGAAAAATACAAATAAATATTGTATAATATGAAATATTCCTTTTAGATGTAATAAAGTTAGAGTAGGCTTCAAAGAGTATAATGTTATGAAAATGACATACAATGTAATTTTATAAGAAGAAAAAGAAATAATTATTTTAATACTTCATTTGAACATAAATGAGAGCAACTACATCATTTGCTATCACACTTTGTCATATCGTAAACTATGCTGTGATATTTGGCTATGAAAGATAGTAACATTAAATCTTATCTATCCATTTTTGCTTCATCTCTCCCACTAGCTTGTAGAATTTAAATGATATCTATAAAGAAAAAGTACAAATAATTTTTGTACTTCTGATTAATATTACTAGCATTATAAATTACTTTTAAAGATAAAAAATAATAGTATTGAAAATACTAGAAGACAGGCCATTATTTTTTATAGAAAATTTGATGTATTTAAAATTATTTATCAAAATGATAGTAATATATGTTACGCATGTATATTTAATGTTTTCTAATACTGCACGATAAATCTGTTTCATTTTAAATATGTTTATTAATGTACAATAGATCTGTAAAGCAAAAAAAAAAATAAAGTAATATAAAATTGAATCAGAGAATGAAATAAAGATAATAAATCTAATTTATCAATAATAGTGTATTTCTGTAATAGTATAATATATTTGTATAAATGAGATGACAAAGGAAATATTTTCTAGTTACAAAAATAAGTAGAGTGACATTTGTTTTTAGAATATTATAACATCTATGGCCATATTGCATTTTTTATGAAAAGATTTGTCAAATAATTACTACATCTATTAAAGTTCAATATACATATAAAAAATTATGCAAAATATTAATTTAACATTAATTTAAAACAGTATATTTCCATATTATTAATTAAAATGTATTATCAAGAAGTATAAAATCATGTCACAGCACCAAGACCGTGATGAACAAGAAGCTCTTAAACAAGATGAATTTTTTAAAGAAACATTAATAAGTGTAAAGTCTTTTATATTAAAACTAACATCTGTGACAGATGCTCAATTATGCAAAGTTTGGCTTGACAAACTAAATCTCTCTTCTTCTCAACGCAGTCTTAGAAATGAGTATCTTCTAGAATTATATCAGCAATTAAAAAGAGGTCATGTAGGAGGTGTATTTAGTGAATCTCCACCTTTAGGTTCTCTTATACCATTACCTAAATCATATCGCATGGTAATCTCATATTTATATATTTATATGATTATTAATTATATTATAATAACTAATGTATAATATTATTTAAAATATAGTTATATATATTTTTCTTAATTAAATAACTTTATGATTTAGGTTAACATTAGTTCATCCTTAAGTGATCTGTCAGATTTTAGTACAACATCATATCACAAATATGAGCGAAGCAATGACTATAAAACATATTCACAAAATACTACATCGAGAATACAAGATACAAATTCTACAAGTACAAGTCAATGTTTATCTACATTTAAACCATCTTCATCAGTTCAATTTTATAATGATAACAGAATAGATAGAGATCAGTTTAGAATACATAGGCATGATACTGGTTCACTGATTGCTACCATTAAAGAATTACAAATGCAAAATAAATCTTTACATCAAGAATTATTAGAATACCAAGAAATTAATACAATAAATGAAAATTTGCATACTAATATAAGGCAACTAACTTCTGAAGTTACTGCACTGAAAGCTAAGTGAGTGTAAATGTAAGCTTTATAGATTTTTTACATTCAAAAGAAATATAAGATTATTTATAAGAATATATTTGTGTAAGAAGAATATAACATTAATTTATTTTGTTAGATTATTAGAGACACAAAAAATAAAAAATGTTCTAGAATTTACTCATAAAGAAAATGTTCAACAGTACAAAAATAAAGTTGCTGAACAGTTTTCTAAACTGAAATTTCAATTACATGAGGCTGAATGTAAAAATGAAAATTTAAATAACAATTTACTTACAATGTCACAAGAGTTGGACAAAATTATTCATGATAAGGTAAGAAGTAAAAAATACTGAATATAGAAAAATAAGATTTTTAATAGCTTTTCCTAAGGAAGAAGAGATTAATGCAATAAAGAAGCAATGTATGGATAAATTAGAATCCATGCGCCAACAATATGAAATTCTTTTAAAAGTAAAAGATTTAGAAATAAATACACAGGTAGATTTAATTCGTCAGAAAGAATTGGAATTATCTAAAAAGGATGAAGAAGGAAATAAGAAAACTGAATTATTGACAAATAAAATTAAAGAGATGGAAATTAAGCTTGAAATAGAGACAAAAGATGTAATTATTTATAAATTACAGATTGTTGAATATTACTTTTTATATTAAATGATTTAAATATATACTTTCAGGATGGTAAATTACGAGCTATGTTAACAGATCAAAATGCAATAATGAAACAAGAATTTGATAAGATGAGAAGTGAAATGGAACTTGTATCTCAAAATCAAAATGAGAATTTAGTTTCTAAAATGATAACTTTGAAGAAGACTATATTAAAGCTTCAAAAATCGAAAGACAAACTTACATATGATTATGAAAAAAAAATTAACCATATCCTTAAGGTTATAACATTTACAATTAATATGATTTTGTAGTTCAATTTTTCTTTAAAATTTATTTTTTTTGCAATACAGGACAAAGATTTGGAAATTAAGTCATTGTATATACAATTTCAAGGACAGAAGACTGACTTATGCACATCCTTGTGTTCAGAAAAACAATATGAATTAAATTCTCTTGTCGATTCATTAGAAGAAAAATATAAACTGCTTCTTGTAGCAGCTGATGCAACAGCTGAAAATCAGCGTCAGAATTACCTTAAGGTAATTGATTTGTGTAATTATATGCTTTAATCATTGAGTACTGCTTATACAAATATTTTTTTTTTACTTACCCAACATTTTTCAATATATATATATATATATATTTTTTTTTATTAAAAATATCTTAAAATTTTCTAATATACGTTTTTTGAAAATTTTCAGAAAATAAGCATATTAGAAAATGAACTGTGTCAATTGAAAAAAAATATTCAAAGTAATGATTAATGAATATAATGGTAATGTATTCTTATTACTATTTTTAGTGTTTCTATAATAATGTCATATACATTAATAAAAGGACGCGTAAGTACATTATTATTTTAATCTATATTTATTATTTTAATTATTAAGTTCTAAATGAATAAAACTGAATAAATTAATTCAAAAAAAACCATAAATGGGATATACATAATCGTATTATAGAAGAATTATTTAAATAAATAATATAACTTCATCATTTGTTTCAAATTATTAGAATTTTGGCGCCTTTCATGAAATATAATGCAGTAATTAGTAATGAGGTTATAAGATAGATATCGTTTAATTTGGCAATCCTGCTTGTCATGTTTATGTTGGTTTCTATAGCAACCTATTTGACAACAAAATCAAATTGGTTATTGGAATCAAGCCTCGATTCCAATACGATTATACTTTCCGATTGTTATAAACTTTATAATCAAGCGTAATCGATTGTGAAAAAGAAAATAGTGAAATATTTCGATTTTTTACTTCATCAAAAGTCTTTTATATAAATTAATATATTTTGTGATTAGCAATATTTTTATTAATGAACAATGTATATACATATACATGTAATCTTATTGGTTTAATATATTTTTAAAGACAAAATGTGATCAAAATGATAATCAAAAAATATCTTATAATTATTTTTATGTAAATTTTTAACCATCTGCACTCATATAACAGATAAAAAGATGTCTTTATATTTTGATACACGGGTGCAAAATCCAGAAACTGCTTCAATAAGTACTCATGCAACATGGCATCCTAATTATCCGCTGTTAGCTGTAGCAGCATATTCCCAAGACAAGGGAGGATTTGTAACAGTTTATGACGATCAAGGAGAGCCTTTACAAGATGTGGAATCTTCAAGACATTCTGTAGCTCAGGTAACTGCTCTTGGTTGGCATCCTGATAGAAGATGGCTAGCTGCAGGATGGGAAAATGGAGAGCTACGGGTTAATAATTTTATAATCTTATTAAAAAAAAAAAAAAAAAAAAAATTTGGAGGTGCAACCTTATTAAATGTGATTATAAGTGATATTAATCAATTATATATGTATTATTATTTAAATATAGATTTGGCCAGGTGATACAGGTACCACTGAATTTAATGTGATAATAACACCTCATCATGATCCTATAACTATTTTACAATGGAGTCCACATGGAAGTCGATTGGTATCAGCGGATGCTGCTGGTTCTATGATAGCTTGGAAAATTGATTCTAGGGGTCAATTGCTTATGGTTTTTCATCATGAATTAAAAGGATCTTTCATACATATTGCATTTATTCCAATGAAACCAAGCATGGATTATAAGTAATTTGAATTATTTGTGAAATGAAGCATAATTATTATTTACGTAGATGTATTATATATGTAATATGGTAAATAAAATTTAGTGATTTGGCAAAAGCTGCAGTAGCTGGAGATGAAAGAGCATTAGATCTATTCAGCTATTGGCGTCCCAGAACTGCCGCACCAACATCTATTACAACTCGGAAAGATAATCATGTTTTTTATATTGGAACTTCAAATGGAATTATATATTTTATTGATGCTCAAGGGCAATGCATGGAAGTTCTCAATACAGATGGTGTTACACTACACTTTTTATTGCATCATCAAATAAGAGATTCTATCATAATTATGACAGAAGGTTTAAATATTGGATACTACCAAACAGATCCAATTACTGGGCAATTAACAGAAATAACTAAGGTACTTTCAAAGTGATTAATATATTTTCAGTCGATATTCGTGTGCATTTATTATTTTATACTTTTGATCAGGTGAAACTTAGTGGTCGAAGTGATATACCTCGTACTGGTCCTGCTATATGTTGGGTTGGTGGTAATACATTAGCTGTTTTAACTGGAGAACTGGGAGTTCGTTGTTGGGATCTTCATACTGGAGACACATATGTTCTGTCACCTCCTGATTCATTGACTGGTAATCTTGCCACACCTCAGGAAATCTGTACAAGTTTATCTTTTTGCAAAAATAATGGTATTTGTTGTGCATTATAATTCACTAAGATATTTTCTTTTTTATAATATCCATTTATATTCTATTAAATATAATGCAGATACATTAGCTGCTGGGACGAACTTAGGTACAATTTATTTATGGAAAGGAAAAGTTGTAAATGACTCTGATGAAAATCGTTGGCCTAGTATTCCAGAGTCATGTACAATTCATGGTACTGTCAAACAATTGATGTGGGGTGCAACCTTATTAAGAAATCCCCTTCTAGCGGTTAACTGTATTACGAATGTTTTTATTTTACATCAACAATCAATGTGTGCTGCATACAATGACGGGGTATGTGCAAGCCAGCTTAGTCCAACACAAATTTTACTGGAGGTAGACGGAAAAGTGCATACACTCAAAACCGACATTCAAGTACAGATTGTTGCTGTGAATAAAGAATATGCAGCTGTTTCGTCTAGTAGACAAATTGTAGTTTATAAGATTAATAAGGATAATATGTTAAGTGCAAATATTATAGGAAGTTTTGCTTGTGATACTGAAAAGATATTGATTTATGAACACACATTGATTATCTTGACGCCATTCGTTATTCAATTGCGCTCAACAGAAGGTACTGTTACACAAACATTACCTACAATGCCGGAGGAAGGAGAACCAATTACTATGGACCTTACGGGTCGATATTTGACAGTCGCTTCATTAAATGGTATCTTAAAAATTTGGGATTTAAGTAAAAGGGAAATCGAACTACATACTAGGGCTATGGCAACATACGAAGCTATTAATGACTTTGCTGAAATTATTGAAGCCAAATGTAACTCCGATTGTCGATGTGTGTCTATTACTGTTGCTATGACCAATCTAATGCCTAGTTCAATTCTTTATGTATGGGACATAGAAAGTGATCAAATGCATGAATTTGATTTTGCCAGGTCAGATGATGTGATCGATGATGAATCTGCACTGTAAGTAATAATAGTAAAAAATGTAATAACTTTTCAATATTTTGTCAATTTATAGATTTATTTATGTTTCAGAGCTATGAAATGTAGAGGTAGATTGGTTACCGCTCATTGCTGGGATTTTGAAGATCCCAGACTCTTAGTTTGTCGTGCACAAAAATTGGAAACAAGAGAATCTAAAACATCATCAAAGTCAACCAAAATTGATGACGAAGTATGATCCACGTTTTTTATTACTAGTTTCTAAACCCTTACACTTATTCAATTAAGGATTTTCATAATTTTTAGGCCGCTGTAGTATTCGTTTCACTATTTGCTACTTCTGATTACGGAATTGCTATTCAAGACGTAAAATCAATAGAAGACGAGAACTGCAGATTATTGGGGGTACAATCGCCCCATATAATAATTTTAAATTCTGAACAAGTACTTGGAAAGGATAGTAAAATTATGCGATTACTTATGAGAGACTTCGAAGAGCTTGAAGATTGCGATCCCGTTACTAAAAAAGCTGTTCTAGATTTTAGTTTTCATATTAGTGTGGCTAATATGGATGAAGCTTTTAAAGCTATAAAAACTATTAAAAACGAAGTTGTTTGGAAAAGTTTAGCAAGAATGTGTGTAAAGACTAAACAATTGAATATGGCTCTTCTATGTTTGGGCCATATGAAACAAGCTAAGGCAGCAAAGGCATTGAAACAAGCAATGCAGGATGACAGTTTAAATTTAGAGACTAAAGTTGGTATATTAGCGGTCGAACTTGGATTGTATGTAAGTATTCATTTGAGATTAACAAAGTTATAATCTATAATTAAACAGAAAATATAATATACGTCGAATGTTTGACAGAACGATGCTGAACGTCTTTTTCGTGAAGCAAAAAGACTCGATCTATTGGGTAAACTTTTGGAAGCTCGTAATAAATTTAAAGAAGCCATAGAATTAGCATCGAACGAAAACAAAATTCGGGAAAAGACAAGTTATTATAATTATGCGAAGGTTCTTGAATGGGAAGGAAAAGTTGTAGAGGCTATCGATATGTATACAAAAGCTGATTGTCATAGATCTGAAGTGCCAAGAATGTTACTTTCAAGACCAAGAGAACTTGCAGGATATCTAAATAACTGCGACGATCCGTAAGTATTATATATGTACAATTTGAATACTATTTTTCTTTTTTTTTTTTTAAATAAACAATTATCTTATAACATTTTAGTCAGATAAAAAATTGGCATGCTCAGTACATAGAATCGACCGGAGATATGGAAGCAGCTTTACGTTTATATGAGCAAGCTAATGATACGTTGTCCATGACAAGATTATTGTGTTATTTCAATAGAGAAGATGAAGTATGCGATCTTGTATTAAGAACGAACCATGCTGCATCTGCATATCATTTAGCTGCACATTATGAATCGAAAAATAATGTATCGCAATCTATCCATTTTTATACGATAGCAAAGGCATATACAAACGCAATTCGTTTATGCAAGGTAATGTATATGCGAAAGAGTTATAGTTTAATTACTGTCAAATAATGTGTAATATTTGTATTTAATTAGGAACATCACATGTCTGAAGAATTGTGGCCTTTGGCAGTTTTAGCATCCAGGCAATCGCAAATAGAAGTTGCGAAATATTACGAAGAAAATGAACAATTGGATAGGGCTGTTCTGCTTTATCATAAAGCTGGTTTATTACACAAAGCTTTGGATATAGCTTTTAGGACACAACAATATAGTGCTTTACAGCTTATTACTATGGACGTTAATGCCGATTCCGATCCTGTCCTTATCGAGAAGTGTGCAGAGTATTTTGTACAAAACGATCAAATAGATAAAGCTGTTGATTTATTTGCTATTGGTAAAAAGTACATGGAGGCATTAGAATTAATGCAAAAGCATAATGTAACGTTAACCGAAGATCTTGCAGAAAAAATGACAACAGAAAAAGTAGAGAATGATGCAGAACACGAGAAGAGAAGGATTAATACATTAGAAAAAATCGGTGAAATAGCATTTGATCAAGGAAATTATCATTTAGCTACTAAAAAGTTCACACAAGCTGGAAACAAGTTAAGAGCCATGAAAGCTTTACTTAAATCTGGCGATACGGAAAAGATTTGTTTTTTCGCACAGGTTTCAAGACAAAGAGAAATTTATATAATGGCAGGGAATTATTTGCAATCATTGGATTGGCAAAATCAACCTGAGATTCTGAAGAATATCATTAATTTTTATTCGAAGGGCAAAGCAATGGATTTGTTAGCCAATTTCTATGTGGCCTGTGCTCAAGTGGAAATCGACGAATTTCAAAACTATGAAAAAGCTTTAGATGCATTAAATCAAGCAAGTAGATGTCTTGCTAAAGTAATGGCACCCAGAGATCCTGATCTTCATAAAAGAGCTACCGACTTAGTCAATAATAGAATGGCAGCAATAAGACGTTACATAGATATTAAAAGGTATATAAATATTTGATAGTTTTTCTTTTTTTTTTTTTTTTTTTTTCCATAATGTTCTATAAAATAACGATACTTTGTAAATAGAATTTATTTTCTTTCATAGATTATTCGACAGGGGCGAAACGGAAACAGCGATATCGCAAGTTCAACAATTACTTGATTCTCAAGGTTCCGATTTAGAACAATCTGTACGTCGTGGCGATTTGTTTGCTACTATTACTCAACATTATGCGAACATGGGAGATACAGAAAAAGCTCGGGCTAGTGTTGAAGAATTAAAACGTTTGGTACCTGGCATAAATCTCAGTTATTATTATAATGTTAATTTGTTAGAAGCATTGGGATATAAACCATCGATTCAATATCAGGAAAGTTCTGATAAAGACGATGATATTGAGGAACTTTTAGGCGAATGAAAACGAAAGTAAGTGCATTACTTGTACCAAATTTTTACGTATCACAATTATTATGTAGTTGTAAAATATTATCATGTAGCAACGACGTACAATTTGATTCCGTCCATAGTGATATTTGTGTATTATTCTAATCGTTAACGATAAAATAATAGTTGTAATCATAAATAATAGATTTCGATGGGTTGAAAAACCAATATGTTCAAGCATTTAGAAAAATTCAGAATGTCAATCTTTATTATTTAAACTTAGCACACGAAAACAACCTTAGATTCACTCCTAACAAATTACATCAAAGTCCTATTGGCGAAAACTAGATCCATTTTTTATAGAGCAATACAAATGCGTTATAACTAAATGTATCGCATGATAATAAATAAATGAACGTTCACGATATTTCATGTAAAAAATGGAGAAAAAGAAAAAAAAAAAAAAAAAAAAAAAAAAAAGAAACATATTTTGTAAAGAAATTACCTCATATATTTTCCATTGATGAAAAAAAACAAAAAAAGGAAAAAAGAAATATTAAAGAGAATTCTAAAAATAATAAAAAGCTCGAGGCATTGTTATTGAAATAAAAACTGAGTTTTGTTTTCGTCCTATATTAAATATAATGTATAACAAAATCTAGTTCACCCAACGAAAGTCTCGCGAAAGTTCGTAATAGCTATTTAAACCGTAATCATTAAAACTTTCTACGTTCAGACAGTTTTTTCGGGTGTGGGTTTTTTGCATGGCGGCAAAGAGACTTCCGTTTCAGGCTCGTCATTCTTACGCTTTTTTCGCACGAGATGCGATATATCGCTAGCTGGTTTTAATATTTTTTGATTCGTCGAGCTACTAGCCGATGATGATGACGTATCTGAACTAGGTCCAGCACCATTCGAACTACCACGTGAAACTTCACTTTTAAGACTTTCTATAACGAGCTTACAAGCTTCCTGTTTAAAATCTTGCATATCTGTGATCTTCTCTCGAATCTCTGGAAGGAGATCTTTCAGTTCTTGGATCTCTCCCTCGACGGTATAAAAAGGATCGTCAGTCTTTGGTGGTTCAGTGATCGCTTCTAGTTCCTTTATACGAGATTCCAAAAGCATAGTAGCTTTATTAAATTCTTCTATGCTAGAATCAAAATCATTTCCCAAGGAATGAGCTAATCCCAATTGATAATGAATTTCAGCAATAGCTCTAGGCTCGCGTGGATCGATCTTCTCTAATAGATTCAAACATCCTTGTAGATCGTTGAGTGCTCCTTTGTGATTTCCTCCTTCCATGGCTACTTCCCCAAGTAATCGGTAGGAATCGGCCAATAATTTCCATCCTGGTGGTCCTCGCTTCAGCAATACTAACTTTGCTAATTCTAGCACCTCCCAAGCGACCTTTTATTCAATACAAATTATTTCATTTATTGTTTTCTCTCTCAGATTAATATTCTCAATCGTCTATTAATTGGAAAAGGAAATTATTTATTTATCTTACCTGAAGATTGTTTACCTCGTCCTCTTCTTCATCTTTAGTTATATCCTCGGTATTATCGTGTTGACCGTTTTCTTGTATTTTTCCGTTTTGCTGTTTCGATGAAGTTGCCAAAGCATCGGTGGTTTCATTATTTTTAGGAATATTCTCACTTTCAGGTTCTGATGAGGTTTTCATTTCTTTTTCATCATGTTCTTTCTTTTTTACATCTTCTTCCTTAATTTCTTTATCTTGTTCATCCTTCACATTTTTCTTCGAAGAGCCATCGTCGGTAGTTGTCTTTGTGGTTTCATTTTTCTTATTTTTCTTATCTTCATCTTCCCCTTCTTCTTCCTCTTCTTCCTCTTCTTCCTCCTCATCCTCCTCCTCCTCCTCCTCTTCTTTTTCATCCACTTTACTCAGCTTTTCCTCTTCAGCTTCATCTTCCTCATCGTCTTCGTCGTCGTCCTCTGCATCTTCCTCACCTTGAGCTTCCTCAGAACCCGGTATTCCTCCTCCCAAAACACCAGTCTCCTCTCTAGCGAGACCTAGGAGTGCACGTCCATAGAGAAGATACGGTTCGCCTAACTCGTCCGCCGTATCACCATGCTTCTTTGCTAGCAATTCGCAAGCCTGGGCAAGTGCAGTCACGGCCATCGTGTAATCACGTACAAGAAGATGTCGCCTACCCTGAGAAATCGCGGTTGCAGGATCGGTGAATGGTACGTTGTCTGCGATATCGGCCATCTGATAATAAAAGGAACAGACATTTTAATTTATTTCTAAATCTTCACTCATGAGATTTAAAAATTTAGATTTCTTCTCATTTCGAGAATTGGGAAAAGGAAGAAAGAAAAAAATAATTTATTAAAGTTTAAACATTTCTCTGTAAACTCGAAATAAAGAAAGAAAAAAAAATTATAATAGATATATTTATTTCTGTTAACACGTTGAAGTAAGAAATAAGAAAGTGAATTAAAATAAAAACATCAAACTTACTCACCAGTACCTAATTAAAAAGATAAGCTTCAATTTGCAATTATTGTGTTCTTAACGTTAAGTGAGAATTAGCAAAAAAAGAAGAAAAAAAAAAAAAGACTATTGCCTACTTCAAGTCTTCTTTTTATTATAATTATTTACTAGTCCTCTTTACTTAATCTGCATGTATGTATGTACAATGAGAAAAATATACTATAATATAAAAGATCATGATGTAAAGCAATAATTAACTTTACTGAAATTCATTTGATTTATATTTATAATTACACTAATATGATAAGATCAAAATTCCATGGTATCATAAATCACGATTTTTTATATTTCAGATTGAATTTTCCCATTGATGTATAATATTTTGTAATTTGAATGAAGCTAAATCAGTTAGGAAATAGATGTAACAATAAATAAAATAATTAAATATAAGTGAATGTTAAAGATAAAATGCAAAAAGGGAGAGAGATGAGCGAGGGAGAAAGAGAGAAAGAGAGAGAAAGAGAGAGAGAGAAATAGAAAGAAAAAAAAAGAAAGATAAAAGAGGGTTGTCCGCAGCATCCGGCTAGAGGTGGGGTGAGTTCGGTCGATTTTCGTACGCTTCGCAAAACGCAAGATGTAGAGGGCGTTCTCGCAGATATTCCAACGTTGAAAAGGACGACTGTAGTGGCGATGCTCGCAGCGAGGGTCAGTGAGAAAAGCGAGCGAGAGAGCGAGGATCAGTGTGGTGCTCGCGGCTATCAGTGGGCTGCCAGTGGTTGCCCTGGGCACCACCTGCGCGGATGGAGCCTACTCGTGTACCCAGGGGCCCTGGTCCGCGTCTCGTTTTTCTCTTTGCCACGCTCGTTCTTACCTTTGCAGGTAATCTTATCCTTCTCTTTTTTTCATCCTCAATCGCTCCTTTCTTTTTCTCTCCGTCCTCTCTCTCTCTCTCTCTCTCTCTCTCTCTCTCTCTCTCTCTCTCTCTCTCTCTCTCTCTTCTCTCTCTCCTTCTCTCTTCTCCATTTCGTCTTATTTTCTCTAAATTCTCATTCGTGGCCGATAAACGTTTTACGTAAGAATCACAACCGTACACATTCCCTCACAAATTGTTATAATTTCTTCATTAAAGGAAGATGAAAATGTATGTTGTAACACGATGAAACATCTTCGATCGAATCTTCCATTCTATTAATTCTTTCTTGGTGACAATGTGAAATAATAACAGGAAGAATGTCCTTTTTTTTTATCTCGAAAAAAAGCATTACCCATTTTTTTTTCTATTCCGATTAGAATATGATACCGTTGCAACGTTGACAAATTCGCAGGGTGTAACGCACAGTAAAAGTATGACGCATCGAAATACGAGTATTGTTGAAAAAATTTATTATTGTATAAATATTATCTATGCGATGTCGCGTAAATTCTTTCATCTCCAGACACGTGGTTGAAGAAGCGACGAACTAATCTCTCTTTCAACAAATCATATTCATTAATGTTAAATACCTGAGAACTTTTTCTATTATGCAACAAAGATGAATTTTCGTTCTCGAACTTATCGGGAGAGATAGGTCAAAAGGTCAGGACTATCTCAGTGTATATACATGTATTCGCGAATTCGCAAGGACCATGTTTGTGCTAGCTAAGAAAAGGTTTAACATGCATATAGTTCAGAAAATTTTTTCTATCTCTTTTGCTCTTTTTTTTTCATCATCAGAAGTTCAACACGACCAACAACCACCGGTTGAATTCACCGAACTTAACACTTTTTCACAACGAGACACATACGTGTGTAGTGTTCGTGTGTTTACGAAAGTGCTTCTTTAACTCTATTATTCTGAAGAACTCTTACGCCTGTACTACTTGGAAAATTTGTCTTGTCTGAAAATCTGACGATATTTTTAACGAAAAAACACGAAAGTGACACTTTTTTAAACGTCCTATTTCCCGAACGAACATCAAAGTTTACAAATAAAAACGTCGAAGTATAGTTAGCAAGCGGTCGATTCTCTTTTGAGACTTTGTTATTCCGAGTTCGAGAAACATTCACTATGAATAATCACTCTGAATAATTATTCGCGGTATAATGAATCAGACTTTGCTTAATTTCAAATTTAATACGCTGGTTTTTTATATAGAAACTATTCAATCCTCTTTTTGTCACGATCCATATCATCTTAGAATTTAATTTGAATAAAATCGTCTTCTCTGTCATTTTTCTTTATTGACATATCAATCTTTTGTTTTTCAGCAACCGGTTTGTTGTGTGGAGCAATAATGACCGATCATTGGGAGGAGGTTGGCTGGGATAAAGAAGCCCTCATTCATGCCAATGTTAGTCTCACATGGTTGGATGATCAAGTGGCAATGTTAGAGGCACCACCTGCTCACAGAAATCATCATCGTGGTAGACGTGGCTCTTTCTTGGTACCCATGCACGGTGGAATCTGGACGATGTGCGTCTCATTATCGGGTGAGTGAATTTTGTCTTTGAATCTTTATCTCGTATTATCGTCAGATCTAATTTTCTACAATTCGAATAACGTGACAAAATATTTTCGGATCGAACAAGCATATGTTTATTTCGATGCGATGACTCACTTCGAAAATTGATTTTTCAAGGCATATCTTTCTCAAAGTACTTCCATATTTTTATGCTTGTTGACATTACAGAGAAAGAGAGAGAAAGAGAGAGAGAGAGAGAGAGAGAGAGAGAAACAAGAGCGATTTAGAGTTGCGTGGGCGTGTCTACTCGAAGAGATACCACCTTGACTCTGTCTGTCCCGGTTTTATCGATCACTCGATTAGGATCTATACATTTTATCGGAAGTATCTCATTCGGTATTGCGTGACCGTGAACATTTCAGATATTCCTTTACGAAAGTCGAGCCTCAAGTGACAATTGCCTTTTTGATCGTACGAATTAATTGTTTGATTAGAATATAAATAATTTTAATAGATGCCATTTGTAATTGTACATATATTTGAAAGCTTTTTTAATTATTTCTAATAGCTATATTACATTAATACATTTACAAAAAATGTACACGACAGTTAATTCCACTGTATTTTTTGTTTAGAAAAAATTATGAAATTTATTAGATGATTATATAGATTTATGCAAGATTGGTTTTGACAATGAATACGTTAAAATAAATTAATACCGATGGTTTCTCAATTTTTATATATATATATTTTTTTTTCATTTTTAATTTACGTTTATAAGGAAATTATTATTACTGTTTTATTATTATTTTATGATGTATGGCTGTATATGTAAGGTCATATCACTTAATATGTTTATTTATAAATTTCAATATTATTATTTTGATATATTTGAATTATTAAAATATTAAGTCTTCCGAGTATGACGAGTATTTATTTATTCTTTTTTAACCAATATTTTATGTACGGCGATTAAAAAGGATATATATAATATCAAAAACTTTTTAGAACAATGCGATCACAATTATAAAAAAATTAGGCTGTTCGTTTAACGCGGCAAGGAGAATGAAAAGAACTTTATGTCTCTATCTCTCAATGAAAGTGAAACGAACGATACAGCGAATAAGGAGAAAAAAAAGAAAAACGAGAACCTTTCAGATTCTTATACTTCGATCTTATATTAAGAATGTTTCATAAGATAGAAACAGATCGAAGATTTTGTCAACATCAAAGTCCAATTTGAAATTGAGGATTAATGTTATTTCAGCTATTTTTGAATAATTAATGAAATAAAGTCAAGCATTCGTGCCTATGATGACAATAACGACAATGACAATGACGACGACAGAAACGGCAGAGGAATCCGGAAAATTTAATTGAAAAACTCGACTGCCCCTTCCTTCCCCCCCCCCTGTCTCTCTTTTTTTCTCTAGATTTAATTTCATTGCAAAGAAAATTATAGAACGCGCTATACATTTACCTCATATAACAAACCGAGTACGCATTCAAACTATGAGAATGTTTTGCCTTGAAAATGAAATAAAAGGATAAAAGGGAACGTCGTTTTTTTTTTGTTAACCGCGTTATGCAATAAAGACGGCACCATTAAATTTTGTTATTGTAAGGTGAAATAAAATGAATTGAAAATTTATTGAAAAACTATTCATATTTTTGCTGCATTGTTTTATAGTTAGATTTTATATAAAAATTAATAAATAAACAATGTATTCGCATGAAAAGCTACAAAAAGTATCCATTTATACTCGTAAGAATTACATTACAACATTTATACAATGGTAGATATCTAAATGTACTCTATAAAATTTTAAAATTTTAAAATTTTAAAATTTTAATATTGTAATAGATTCCATATTCCAATTAATACTTATGTACACTTTATACTATATCTTTTTTATTGTTTAGCTTGCAATACGTGCGAAAGATATTCTGATATTTTGAAATTAATTTAATATGAAAAAAAGCTGATCAAAAAAGTTAATGCAAACATTCACTTTTTTTCTTTTTTCTTTATGAATATCATATTTTAATATTTCTTTCATGCAGAATATAATGAAATAAAAATAAAAAGAAGAAAAAAGAAAAGAAAAGAAAAAAAAAATAAATAAAATTAATCAATTTCGATTAACATAATGCCGCGCGAAATATGTAAACAATAAACCTAATCTATAAACGATCGATTTCATTCAATTTTATGATATAGAAATTTACACAGTATTTTTGCAATGCACTTTCTTCCGAAAAGGTCGTGATATCACGCGTATGTTCGAATTTAGTAAGACATGAAATTGGAGATTTGGAAGGTGCGTGCAACGAGATAATTGGTTTCCTCGTACGTTTTTATACCTTCGTATAATGGCTCTTGGTCACGCTAAGCACCGAGCAATACAAACTACTATTTCAACTATGAAATTGTGTGCATTCTCTCTTCCCCCCCCCCTTTCTCTATGGTCGTTCGACCTTTTCGACCGGAGTAACGTCGTACCGCTAAATTTGATCAATTATGAATCATCGAATCTATAAAAAATAGAACATAGAACAATAATTCGAGATAAAAAGAAAGAGAGGGATCTTTTTCTTCTGTTTTCTTTTTTTCTTCTTTCTTTCTTTTCTTTTCTTTTTCTTTTTTTTTTTTTTTTTTTTTTTTTAACTTTCAGACGACGAAATACGACTACTGGGTCAGGTGGGCTTTCCGCAAGAGAGATGCATTAACTACTTGACACCCGACGAGGCACACGAAGAAATCCGCGTTGCGTGGCAGAATCGTGAGTCAAATCGACATTTCTTTTTCTTTTCTCATCTCGAAGGCGATTCTCGACATGATTTTTAAGAGCCTTTATGACATCTTTTATTTTTTGGAATTAATGGTATTGGCTTTAATCGAATTAGGATTATGTTATATAGATCGTATATAAATCAACTGTATTATACGAACGTCAAGTTTATAAAAACAAATACGAAAACGTACGATTCGTATCATGGAAATTATTTATTAATCTATTATAATAAAGTACTTAAAAATATGTATCTACGAGTTGTTATCGATTTGAGTTTAAGGTGAAAAAAGAAAAAATTAGTAGTTCATAAACAGCAGTTTAAATTGCTTTATTTCATGGAAATAATGAAAAGTAGGAACAAAATACTAGCGTCTGATGATTGTTTTATAATGAGACTTTGGTTCCGAAGGAGTTAATAAAAAAGCAATTAGTGCCGATAAGAATTCGAACAATAGAGGTTATTAAGATTATATTGAAAAGTTCATTTATTTGAATATCTAAAGTATAAAGAAATTTAAAATGACGTTATTTAAAATTTTTAATAAGACTGATATATTAGGATTATGTTTCTACAAATTAGAATTCTATAAAAAAAAAAAACCCATCAATTTTTAAAACGTTGAAAATCTTGAAATTGTACCGAGCCGTTCTAAACAAAATTTTGATTATAACGATCCTTGACTTTATCAAAGTTGTTAATTAAACGCGATCTAACGTTTCGTTAATGAACTTTACTTTCGGATTTTCTATATTACTCTTGAATTATTTTATTACTTCATAAATAATTTAATTACGATTAAAAAGTTTAAATTACATATTGCATAGTGACCTATTTTATCGTTACAGGGATGCAGAATTTAAGTATTTCTTGCTCCCTCGTTTGTCTGATAATCCTCGGCACCGCCGTGCTAATAGGATTTTTTGGCTTGTGCAGACATCAAATATCAGCCGTTCTTGTTACAGGAGTGATGTATTTATTGGCAGGTGAGATATCGATCGTGAAAATTAATCTGTTAATGCATAATGACCATACTCGGTTCATAATTAGCGAAATATTCGAGTCTCTCCAATTGAAACAATGGGTTAATTTTAGCAATGCGTGGAATGTTTCATGATGAGTCGTAAAGTAGCAATTATTTTTTACTTTTCTCATTTTCTCTAATGAAGAAAAATATTGATCGAACGAATGATCGATATTTGATAATAATGAAGAATGACGACGAATCGATAAAAATATTTTATGTATATCGTATATATTATTTTTGTACGTATATTAAATACGTATATGAATCATACACAAAGCTAGTCAACTGAATGTTTACGAGTAACTTGTAAATCGATTATAAGTTAAAGGATGTTCGATGAAAACAGTTAGTCTTGTGAAACAGTAGAAGCAAGAGGGAAAATAGTATGATGAAACGATATACATTTATTGTCAGTTGCCTTGGTCTGATGTATGAAAGTCTCATAAAATTTGGAGGTTAAAGAGTACTTAAGAACAAAAATAATAGAAAAATTTATGAAATTGCAGCGACATTTGCGCTCTTCACGTTGACCATCATACACTTCAAGAGAGCTCAAGACCGAGGTATTCGTATAATTAATGGTCCGGAAGATGGCGTGATAGGCGGACCGGTGTCACGTGCCATTCTAAAAGCACGTCGTTTTACGACCTCTTGGAGCATGGATTTTGGATGGGGTGGTGTAACCCTGTGCGCTCTCGCCTCGGTAGCTTGGATTTTGCTTAGCAAGATAATGCGTTTTAGTCCAATCGCAGCCATGATTGCGTAGCAGTGGGAGGCCTTCGAGGTCTAAGGTCATTTTGCGACTGGTGTCTATTGCGATAGAGGATTTCTGAAGTAAGATGAGAAGAACAAGAAGAGAGAGAGAGAGAGAGAGAGAGAGAGAGAGAGAGAGAGAGAGAGAGAGAGAGAGAGAGAGAGAGAGAAACTAACCTTTCTCAAGATACATCGAAGCCAAGAAGAGGAATAAAGATCGTACGTACGTGCGTCTCTTTTTACGCGTGATTTGAAATCACACGTAATTGGATGTGATAAAAAAAATATATGCGAGATACGATAGTATAATACTAGAGATCGATGATGTGTCGGTATAAAAATATCGTTCCATTGCACTTCCAGGGTATATAGGTTATATTATTGAACCTCGGAGTGTAACTACGATCTAATGATTTGATAAGGATTTAAATATGAATCGTCCGATGAAGTTCTGCAGTAAGTCGATGACCGATCATTTTTATAAACATTATATATTTAATACGGAATATCGGCGTGCTGCTGTACTTTTACCATTTTAGAAAGCTTTTGCATTTGATGGCGATATAAGTGTTTGTAAATGTCGCGGAAGATACGCACGTAATTATGATCATAGTTATAAAATTTCGATCTTTACAGTATCAGAAAGTCACGTTGGCATCCGTTTTGAAAAATCTCTATCGAGCATGAATATTCAATGAAATTGACCATCTCGAAGGCACTATAAATTTCTCTATACAAAATAACATTAGTTTATGTACGCTTCGTACACTTTTTACTTAAGTTTCATCTTTACGAAACACATGACAGAATAGTTTGTGGCAGGCAGTTAGATAATATTCTAAATACAATATTTTGTACCGGTTAATGAGAATCCCAATCATTCTAGATAGCTTATTTTGACATGAGTAAATCCTGATTGGAAGGATTAGTTTTATGTAGGTATTTTTAGAGATCAAATTTAATTTTCATTCTTGTTACTATGCCTATGTATATTTTTATTAAAGGTCTCATTCTTAAGAGTATTTGACATTCAGGGTAGGGTATCAGACTGAAAGAACAAACAGTATTTGCCCTTGTATTTTAGCTTTTGTTTACAGTCAAATTATGTCATATTGCAAGAAACAGCTACTTAACTGATCAAAATTTGAGAACAATTAATACAGATAAATTAAATGAAAATCTATTTATCATTTGATGAAGCTTGAAAAGTTAAAAATACAGTAACTGTTTCTGGTAATTTGGCTTTAGTCAATTAAAATAAAAAAGGCGTATTGAAGAGTATAAGGATCAGCTGATTAATTCTAAATATATCCAAAGATGGCTTTTCTTCTGTATATAGTTGCATTAATTTCTGTAAAATTTAGTAGCTAGCAAAGTCACTTAATGACAATTAGTATGATTGAAAATGTATACTAGTTTATATAATTATCATTATCTTGTTAATAGTTATAATATTTTGCTTTTTCCTTTGTATTTTATATTTCTAAAATAGTTAAAAAGCAAAGTAAAATCTGTTAAACTTGTTCTTTCAAGGTTCAATCTTGAAATATAATACAATTTTATTATTCTCTTATTTAGTACAATCCAATCGCCTTATAAATAGAGTAATAAGCATGTTTGTAAAGTGCATAGTTTAGTATAACATCGTTCCAGCCAATTTAAGCAACGATTGAATATGTGCGATAAGAAAATAGCTTTTGCTACGACTTGTTACAGCGAAAATGAAATTTAAGCCAACAAAATATATTGCAAATGAAAGGATTGTGAATTATGATTCGTCCATTAATGTTTAAGGAAGAAAAAAAAAAAATAAAATAATCAGGTATTTTGGATAAACAATGCCTGACACTTGGAAAACGAGCTTTGGTAATAAATAAGAAATTTAAAAATTTTTGACGATAGGTGCAAAACTGTTGTCCAAGTGATCATAAAGAAAAATATTATTTGAAAGGAAAAAAATTTTTTCATAAATAACATTTTCTTAATTATCATATTTTTTACCTGATGCTTGTTGTTTGTTATATCAGAGTTAATGTATCGCAAATACAATAAAAAAAACACCTACAAAATATAGATATATTATACGTAACAAAATCCTTCCATTACATTCCGGATTTAAATAAGATATTAAAATTATTATATTTCGTAATTTACAGTTGCAATAAAAAGTGAGGTTATGTTTCGCAAGCGAGATGCCATTTGCAAAAATAGAATTCAATGTGTGCGTATCAACTTTCCCTTGTACGTGACATCGAATTATCGAGCACGTGATAATTTTGCATGTGTTTTATAACGAGTGCCATTCGATATGAATATATTCACGTATTTCTGCGACATCGATACAAACGAATCACTCAAACGTAGACAAGGGATATTTCGCGCCTTCCAAAATTTGGTAAACAATGGAAACACGAAATCGTGGCCTTATTGGAAGATTACGATTAAAAATAAGTTCATCGAGATAATAGATTTTTTAAAAATAAACCTTGGTGTTAATATATTAAAGAAGTATTAAAGAAAATAAAAGTCGAATTATAACGGCTTTTATTTCCGGAGAGCTCTAACCTCACTGTATTTAATATAACGGAATTTACACATACCTTGCTTTTTCTATGAAAATAAACAAGAAGCCACAAGACAGGTCAACAACAAACGATTTTTCTTCGTTATTTTCAAAGAAAACAATTAATGTTTTAATGATACACGTATATGTATATATTTCTTTAATTCAAACGAAAACTATCTACTTTCGAACCGTTACGAGAAACAGATAATCAACCAGCAACAACCGGCACAAGAGGACAATTTCTATGTGAACACGATGAAATTCCCATCGTACGAACTAAGAGACACCTAGCGAGCATGAATGTAAGTTTATCATTTTCTAACATCGACGTCCACATATAGTCCTCGATCTAGAAGTTTCTTTACTCAATGCTACGGTAAGAAGAATTGATTCTTGAATGATTTACATGTAGTCCGGCCAATGAATTGAATCAGTAAAAGGAAACAAATGCATGTGATTGGGACAAGATTAATTGTATTTACAATTTTCAGAAATTGTAACACATTTAATGTTTAAAAATGATCCATGTAAATTCGCTTCTGTATTCAACAATTGATTATCGTATGTCAACCAATAACTGGAGTTCTTTGCTTACACTCGAATGTTTTATTTACCTCTACTGACTCAATTTTGAACGGACTGTTAATATAACGTTTCTCTATATTAGTGTTAGAACTGTTTGAGAAAACAATTGTAAGCTTGTGTTTATATGATACTTTTGTATTATGTTTAAACGTATAATATGTCGGTTAAAGTTTGTATGGAAATTTCTTAGACGTTCTATATATTTTGTAGTTGAAAAAAAAAATAACACAATCGACAAAAGGATACGCTACGATAAGCAATCATTGTTTGCTTTATTAGTTTCATTTTAAAATGTTTTTTTTTTTCTTTAGTGCGTTGCCATCTTCTATGTGAACAAAAAATTAAGTCGGTAGGTGAATGAAATTTTTATTACACTTTCCGTAAATTATCTAAATTAAGAAAGCAAACATGCCTTTGTTACATAAGTGTTCTTTAGATTCAACTCTTCTTTACTACCTCGTGTGTTTTCGCGATTTTATTTTAAACGCATTCATTTTTTTCCCTTAAATACCAATCATCGTGTATTCCATTCCATTTTATCATCATATTAAGTAGTTATGTTATTATCGAAAATATGTTCTGTTAGAATAGAATTAATATAAAAGGGATTATTAGATTTATTGTAAGAATCAAAAGATCTTCTTCGATTTTGAATTTTTTCGAGAAGAAGAGTCCGATCCTTTTTTTTTATATTTTCCTTCGAAAAAAGTTCCTTATTGTTTTTCGAAGAAGTAAGACTATTTTCCTTGCTTTTGATGATGCTGTTTTGTTTCTTGTTATTATAATCAGACCAATTACGTTGAAAACTGATAAATATTTCATTCCAGACACATAGTTCCTCAACTAGAATAAATAAAAAACGCTATTTATTTTTTTTTCTCAACTCTTTCTTGTTACTTATCAATGGTACGACAAATATAAATAGTTTTTTTTTACCATAATTATTTTAGTATGTAGACACTATGTATATATATATATATATATATATATATATATATATATATAAACTTATACAGAGTAAAATAAGAACGTATATGTATATAAATATACAGTGTGTACTGAATTTTTTTCGTCAAATTATGAAAGCACATTTTATAAGAGAAAATAAGATAAAAATTGAATATCTATAGATACTGTTACAAACTTAAAATAAAATATTGAACATAATCTAAATGAACTCGAGCATTTTTTTTACAAATTTTTAAACCATGTACATACTCAATATCAATGTACATATGTATTTCTCATTTCAAACACTGCATTTTGATGTTTCTATTTGAAAATTGGAGGTTAACTATTATTAACGATATTAACCATTGGTGAATTTACAGATAAGATAAATATAATCTATCGTTTAATAATTATAATTTTTATAATCTATCTTTTTCAATATGCAATTAAAAAATTCCATCACCTATTGCATACATTGCGTTAAATATTCCCATATAAAACATTGATAATTAATTTTCTTGTAATACATATATTTTTTTTTTGTTTTCACTTAAAAAAAATTATACTTTCGAAGTTCGACGATAAAGATTTGGAACGTTTGGTGTATAATTCCACTATCGAATATTACCGTATAAAAGCAATATCATGAGTAGAAACGATCCTGTTGGAATTCCTAAGTTTGGTAAAAGAGTGTAAATCAAATTTAGAAAAATAGGGCCCTCGTAAAATGCAATTCCATTGATAGTATTTACCAGCCACGGTAGATAAAGATAAGGAATATTATATTCATCAGCTATAGCTACCATTGTCGTTGTTATTAATCCCGTAATTACATTAGCTGCGAGTATTCTTATCTTTAAATCTGAAAGATTATGAAGAATTCATTATAGAATTATTGCTTCCTTTTAAATATACGTTATTATTAATAATTTTCGTTATTACTATAATTTCGACGAAAAAGGGCATTAAATGCCGCTGATTTTGGTGCTAAATTGTCAAGAGTTACACGAGTTCCTGGTTCGACGACGATGAAACTTAAAAAGTTCGTCGTAAAACATAATATAATCATGTAAATAGTTTCGATCTGCAAAGAGAGAATTCAAAGTTTCAAAATTTCAGATTTATTAGATTTAAATTCGTGATTGTAATTACCTTTACAATGTATCTTTTCTTAGTGCCATCTCGTGTGACATACCATTCACCATTAAAAATTTTTTTATAGTTTAGATTCATATCTTTTTACGTACTTTTTATTTCGTTATATTTTCATTTTATTCAGTAATATGTTTCTTTATTTTTTATAATTTCGCTTTGGTCAGATCCGTAATGTGATGATGATAGTTGGCTTTTAATTATCATCCATTTATTATGTATATGTATATGTATGAATATATGTATATACTTGCTTCATAGTTCACTTTGAGAAATAAAAAAAGAAAAAATAAATATAGATAGCACATATACCAATTTCGAAACAGTCGATCTCAAAGTTTTCATTGGAGTAAAAGTAATATCTTAATGAAGAGTAATGCAATTGAAATCAATTTTTTTTGTAAAGTAACATATCCTTCAATCTTTTAAGAATTTTTAATCATTAAACAGAAAAAAATAAAATGATAAAAAAAAAAGAAGTACGTAAACAAGCTCGATTAAGTCGATTTAAGATAATTGATAATTGGCTTAATTATGTTTTATTTTGTTTATTATATATTATTATTTGTGAACAGGAGAGATTTGTCGTTTATCGATATTTCATTTACATGATCATTTTTAATGTGTCTTTATTACGAACGCATACGAGAATAAAATGTAGTATTTTTTACTTTTTTTTTTTTTATAATTAGGAAGATAGATCGTAAAGTTTGATTTTGCTTTTGAAAAACACTTTTTCATCACGTTTATTTCATTGAATAGAATTTCGTGCTTGTCGATGGAACAGGCAAAATACTTGCAACCAGTTATGTACCATTAATATAGCTGGCAAGATCTCATCGCGTTTTACGTGTAGACCATCTAAGAAGAGTCTGACAAAAAATACTATTATCTCTACGATGATAACGCATAATTGCATTAGCAACCAGGGAGTGTACAGCATCGGGTATTCCTATTAATAGAGATAATAATCGAATGAAATTTTATATTTTTTTTCACAGTGTTTTCTTGCATCTTTATACTCACCGTAATAGCACCTAGCATTATCAACGTATAGTGTTCTATTCCAAGAATAGAAGTCATTAGTTTCAAATCTCTTTCTACGTCCCAAGTTGCTAATCAAAAAGATGTTAAGAAAGAAATATTTTACTTTTATTATAAAAATATTTTACATCTATATTTTTCTATATTTTATAATAATATAAAAATATATAAATATTACAAGAATAGATATATTAAACCAAGAGTCATTGATGGAATCAAACGAATATAAAAACTCACCCAAGTCTTCTTTTTTAGAACGCGATGGACATCTAATTGGTACTTTGCAATTCATTGTACGTATAACATCAAATGTTGTTATCACCTGAACGATTTACGAATGAAAATTAAAAAGTATAAAAACAATTTAATTGAATTAATTGGAAGAATCGTGTGATTTTGATCAACCGTGTACACGTATATGTATACACAAGCACACACGTTAATAATTAACAAGTACTACGATGGACTAACAGTCCCAATGATACCCAGCATGATGACGTATAACGGATTTCCCATGATATAATGATCGCACAGGTTGCATACCATTCGACCGACACGCTGAAATTTGAAGATTTTATTTAAATGTTTTTATTTACATAATATAATACCGAAAGGGTTATAACGATTAGTGATAACATTGATAGCTAACTAATCGTCCACCGTGTTCGTTGATTTTTCGTCTACCACGTATTCTCATATTTTTTAAAGCTATTATAACTTTGAAGAAAAAAAAATATATATATACATATATGTATATATATATGTATATATATGTATATATATTAGAAAGAATTCACGTTCGAGTAAAAAAAAAAAAAATTTTCACGACGTATAAATGATTCAAATTAAAAAACGATAAAAATCTTCATCATTTTTGCCCTCTGGCGTATGTACTTCGTAATATAAGTTCAAACGAATGATACGATCAGTTCTGATTGGTCATTTGTTAAACATTAATATTGATGGATATATGTAATATTATTTTTTTGTCGATGTGTAACTTACAGATTTTTTATTTTTCTCTATGATCGTTCCCACGCAAGATATAACAGCACGTTTTCCCATTTTTCTATGCTTGATCATTGTTTGTTAAACATTAACAACTACGTATATAATACTATTTCGATTTTGTTAGTTGAGGTTACAAAACTTAGATGCATTTCCACGGGGAGACTACCTTGACGTTTAGAAAATATAAAGATCAGGGTAGATGATGGATATCAAGTAGTAATCGTAAAAATTGATAATTCACTTGCATTTTATACTTCATAAGCAATTTATCACGTCTGATAAATCATTCGAGAATAAACGTGGCCTGCTAATATTTAGGATAGTCTGAAATTAGCAATTTTAGAGACATTAAGTCGCGTAAGATATCCGACTCGATATCCGATCGAATTCTGATAAAGTATTTTCGTATCGCTATTTCAACGTAGAAAAATTTTTTAGATGAAAAAAATCTTTGGATTATTTTTATATCAATAATAGCCATGAAAAATTATTTTAAGAAGTTGATTTATCATGAAGAAAAATTCGTGGCAAAAGGCACGAATAAACGAGAAGGAACGAACGAGAATGAAACTTATCGAACGATCCAAGCGTTCCTTTTGCTTTTAATCGTTCTAATGTTGTGTTATCATGGTATACGCAATGGTAGTTTCCAGTATGATCTTCTGGAGAATGGAGAAACTCGTTATGGTTATGCAACTTATCAAAAAAGAGAAGGAACATTTGTTAGTTTGACCTTGGGATATTCTTTTCATCGTTCTATCGTTTACACAGTGACTGCCATTATGTTTCTTTATTCTCTTATATCGGTAAGAAAAAGAAATCATCGATTTCATCGATCTCTTCAAATATAAAGTCCATGTATGATATACTGTTTACCGTTTAGAAAAATCCAGGCTGGAGTTTACCGATGATAATTTTATATTTTGCCGATTTGGTATGTGACGTAAGCTATGCGATTATTGCCGTTTGTCTATTCTTTCGGAAATTTCATCTATCGACGGCTATTTTTTATACGATCTTTATTATATTACTGATCAGTACGTTTTTTCTTTATGTTACGTTATTAATTAAATTTTACGAGAAAATTTAAACAAATGTGTCTGTGTCAATGTCATCATTTGTATTTTTACATATCTGCATGTTATAACATTTGAAAATTTAAAACACATTTATAAAAATAAATTAAAACGAACATTTTTACATTTCTTTTTGAACTTTAAAGTTTCTTTTTGAATTTTGAAAGCGTGAAACGATCACTATAACATAAAAATCATCACTTTCAAAACTAATGAATTTCGAAGATATAAGAAATCAGTAGCCAACATTTGTTTAAATTCTTCTGCTGACTTGAATGATTAAAAAAAAAAAAAAAAAAAAAAAAAAGAAAAGAAAAGAAAAGATATTGGTTTTGACGTAATAATTATTTCTCGTCCACGCAGCTGGAGAAATATGGGCGTGGTTGGGTGTCCTTCGCCTTTATGAGTATAGAACATACAAGTGACGGAAATCATTTACGAAGACAACATTTTTTATGGTATATTTTTTATTTTGCTTTCTTTCTTTCATTTAACGTATTATATATTATCTGTAATTTTCTTATAAAGAATATATTTATTTGTGATACTCATTATAATACTCTTTTATCATAAATGGGGTAACATGTAGTTGTAACTCAATGCACTTAGTAAAAATCCACGACGATAAACAATTGGACATTTTAAGGTTTCCAATGAGCACGTTCTAATGTATTTCAATATTCTAATTTCGTTGCAGGAATGTATTCTGTGAAAAAAAAAAAAAAAAAAAAAGAAAGAAAAAAAAATGAATATTATTACGTTTTATGATGGCTTATTTAACCCTTAAAAGCTATCATAGAAGCCAATAAAAAAATCAAATGTAATTAAATGTTTTTATTATTATTTAGAAATAATTTTTTTCGATAGCTCTTTAAGGTTAATAAGGAAAATATCAGAGAAAATTTGTCATACTGTGGACAAAACTTATTTATGGACTTAAATAATGCTCCTTCTTTACGAATCGATTCGTTTTTCGCTATGTCATTTATAAAATATCCTATAAATGCTTGACAGGGTACTCCAGCAGCTTGAATATCATTTTGAGGATCAATAGTGGCCAATCCATCGAATACACATTTTTCATTTTCTTTTCTTTACGAAGGAAGATAAACAATTATAATGTTTTTTTTTTTTTTTTTCATTTGCTTATAACATTATTAACTTGATCTTACTTGCACATAACTTGTGAAATATATTTCAGATTGCAATATAATTTAGGATCCAAAGCGATTCCGGATGAATTCCAAATGAAATACGCTTCGGTAGCTATTTTTAATATCTTATTATTTAAATTTCCAGCTACTTTAGAGAGATTGGTTCTGCAAGATCATCATGATAGATAACGAAAAAAAAGAAAAGAAAAGAAAAGAAATAGATAAATAGAGATGAAAGAGATCGATCTTCTTACCCTTGAAAGAAATTGTCGACGATGATATCGTGGTTTTTAATGTTCTCGTATTTATGAGTAATTTGATATCTCAAACGATCTTCTCGCATTATCCATAAAGATCTGGTTGCTTTGTTCTGTAAATCGATCGCATTTGTAATCGATCTAATTTCAGGCTCAAATTTCTTCGTCACTATAAAATCTTTCATAGAATCTTCCTTATCGGTTTTTTTGTGTAAACTTATTAGATGGATCTAAAGAAATTTTTTATTTATTTATTGTAGTTGTTCAATTAAAATACATTCAAATATGCCCTATACATTTAACTCTGGGTTCTCACGTGCTGCACTTTCAATGTGGCAAAGATCCATCATTGACCATGTACGATCTTCTTGTCTTACTGAGTATACATTGATCGATCTCTTATTAAATTCCTCTCTAGAAATATATATAAAGATATTTAGAACTCATAAGATGTATGCTAAATTAAATTTTTAAACACACCGGTGGTTATCAGTATTCGTTGAGTTCGTAGGTAAAGAAAGAGTAACTGATACAATGATGAGCAAGACAAGATTCACCATTATGACGCATGCAATAAAAAAGACAAAGAAAAGATAAGAAGGCCACTTTTCCAATTGTTTAACGACTCCTTTCATGATCGCATTTTCGGAATTGAGTTTGGGAAATCCGATGAACTTTTTGGTACCAACTTCTGGTAACAGCAGGAGTTCATCTTCCTTATTCGATTCTGTTGATTGTTAAAAAAATCAGTTGTTATGATCGTTCAAAATTTAATCAATTAAACGTTATATATAAATTCGTACTCACGTATCATGAATGAAACAATAATAATAATAATAATAGTAATAATCTTAAAATCAGAATTTAATGCAAAAAACAAATGTACGATTTTCATTAACTCGATAACAGTTAGTAAGTCTATAAAACACAACCGGATAGATATTCACAATCACAAAAAAAAAAGTTAAAAGAATACAATTCATAGAACTATCCATATTAAATCCATCAAACATGGAGCAAAGGTACGTCGAAAAAAAAATAATGAATTATATATCAATAGAAGAAATCAAGAAACAATAGAAACAATAAAAAGTTACAATAATAACAAACATCCTTCCAATCGTTAGAATCATATCGCGATTAATTAAGCAATGAAGCTATTGATTACAAAATTAATAGATCCTCACCTGAATACATAACATACCATTAAAAAAATTGGTAATTTTAGAACACATATCTAGAAAATTTCTAAGTGACATTAGTCCTCTCAACGATAAATCATTATTTTAACTGTTGTCGAGAAATATTATCTGGCCAACAAATGTCATGTCTTGCGATAGAAATAGTATCTAATAATGGCGATTAATGAAAAGTTAAAAATAAAACAGTTTGAGAATCACTGTAGATTTAGCAATGAATGTTAAAAAATGAAAAGCTTTGTAATTTTGGAAACTCACCTGCAATTTTACTGAATTTATTTATTCTCTAATCAAAGGATAATTATCGTACGTCACTTCAAACTACTGGTATGTATTAAGATATATAATTTACTTGCCTTTTATATCGATCATGTTCTCCGTTCGCTTTAATACTGCGCTATCGTCGAAGAGGTCTTTAAGTTATTTGTATCGTCCGCCAAGTCAGCATTTCGCAACGAATTGTCGCATTTAAATAGAAGGAATTTTGGAAGTGCACAAAGATATTGCAGAAATACGATATATTAGGACGTACATAACCTCAAATAAATAATAACGAATAAAATGTTTCTTCTTCTTTTTTTTTTTTAAATTATAATTTTGTTTTCTTTGTCGCTTGTTTTTTTTTCCATGCAATTGAATTCATTAAACCGATAATCAATTGTTCAAATATATTTGAAATATTTTCGTTTTAACAAAGAGATATGACATATAAAATAATAGGTATTTTTATTTATATAATATATATATATATATATATTTTGCTTCTTTTTTTCCTGTAACTTTTTTCATCACAATTTCTATTTTCTTCTTTTTTTTTGTTTGTAATAATATTAGTACAGGTGTGTTACCTACACTTATTTTTTCATACGTCTGTTCCATCTAGTCTGTAGCTGACGTGACGTTTTATTAATAAACCATTATTGCTACATATTACTATATACTTACATATATACTATGTACTTACGTATACGTATTTAAACGTCATTACGTATGAAATATTAGTTCATATTCGAATAATTAGTTCGTCGTATAGTTATTACACTACTTGGCATATAATTTATCTTGGAACATATTGAATAAAGCATCTATATTTATCTAAATATTAAAATAATTTCTTTATTATTTCAAACAATCAGTTATCTCGTTATTCAAATAAAAAGATTACAATTTTGTTTTTCTAACAAAAGATATATATATATCAATAAACGATAGCACAATTATTTTCATACAGATAGATATAACGAATAATAATAATAATTATTATTATTATAAATTGTTGGAAGTTAAACTTAGTATGTCGTCATTGTGACAACAGATAAATCGTATTTCATTATTTTTAAGATAAAAGGAAAGAAAAAAAGGAAACACCAATTAAGTTTGCATTTGTCTTTATTACAAATACTTTCTCTGAAATTAATTCAAAGTAATCACGGTGGCAGGCATAAATATTCGCATTATTATTATGTATTTGAGAGGAAGACACTTGATTTTTTTTTTCTTGCTCGAATGAACTAGTCGCATAATTTTTCTATAATTAACGATTCTTCTTTCGTCCTGCGATTCGTTGAAAGGAATGACACTACGTACATACGTATGTACTTATTTAAGATATGTATATCTACGTTACATGCACGTAATGATACATAATCACTATTTAAAATGCCTTATATACAAATATCGCGCTATCGCTTACTCTCTAAACTCATGAGCAATAAATATATCCAAGGAAAATTAAGATTAATTAATGAAAATAGGTTAAAAAACCTGCTACGATAGAAAGAAAAAAGTTGTTACATCTTATATTTTGTTTTTTTTATTTTCTCTTTTTTTTTGTCTTTACCTGCTCGTTTCTTTTTCGTTGTCGTTGTTGTTGTTGTTGTTGTTATTATTGTTGCTTATTCATTTATTTAATCCATCTATTGAACTTATAATCTAGAATATCTGTGAATATTGTGGAAAGAATAGCGATTAGCGCGGGAAATCGTCAATCTTGAAAATATGCTTATTCGGAGAAGATAGCTTTGAGAAATCCAATAACTTAACGAGAAGCACGTTGTGTCGTTTTCATTTAACACTAAGAGTGATAAATGATATATTTATAAATTATACTAAGATAGGTAGATAGATAGATAGATAGATAGATAGATAGATAGATAGATAGATAGATAGACAGATAAATAGACAGATAGATAGGTAGGTAGGTAGACGAAGCTAATTCAATTAATTAGAAATCAAATATCACGATAAAACGAAAGGCACTATATTTAATGCGTTCGTTAAGCGAATCGTGTTGGACAATTCGAATTTATATTGTTAAGACCGACCTGCGGCCGAAAGCGAACTGTCTTCCCGCATTTCTATATAATATTATATTATATTATAGCGATAGAAAGAATAATAATAAAAACGAAAATAGCTTGGTACAGTGTTTTAAGGCACTCGTGATCAAACGCTTGTATAAGAGATCGTTTGCTTCGAAGTAGTACCGTTCAGTTGTTTGCTATTGGGGATTAATGGCTCGACATCGACAATCAAAGTTTTGCTTAATCCATCATTATCGGACAAGCTGCTGGCACTATTACGTTTCGAGAGAGCCCGATTAACGTCCTGTAATTGGGCATTCTCGTAACTCCTACGATTTCTGGTAGAAATGCTAGGAACTCGGCTAAATCTTCGACTACTTTCCGGACTGGATTGATTACCTTCGAAAAATCCAGATTCCGGAGAGAGATCCGAGATCGGAGATTGTGGACTTCTCGGTGATCTATTAGAAAAATGTCCATCCTCGGTAGTTGTGAAAATGTCACGAAGATCAGCCGTCTGTTCCTTGTTAGAAGATACCTTTTCCGTTTCGATATTAACTCTATTATGTACTTCGATGTCACTGACGTTCAATCGACGCTTTATTTCAGGCAACTCATGCATCTCCTTGGATCCTTTCATCCCGCAAACGATATTTCTTTTGATACCGTCCAAACGTTCCCTACTACCTGTGTGACGTCTAGCAACGATCAAATTTTCACCGCTGGTAACATTTAAATTTCGATTGCTATTCGAACGATCTATGGATAACACTAGATATTTTTTCGAACCGTTTAGATTTCTTTTCGAACCGTTCAAAGATCTTCTACCTTCGTCAAATCCCATAGGAAAATTTCGATTGGAAAGATTCCTTCTTGAATCATTCAATGATCTTCTCTCTTCGTCGAGAAGCGGATACTTCATGAGACTTTTTTTCGAACAAAACTGACCCAACTTTCCCTGATATTCTTCTTTAGATATCTCACCTTCGCGAAATTCCTCCTCGAACATTATCTCTCGACTGTTTTTTATGATCTCTCTGTTAACCGCTTCAGATAAATGTCGAAACTCGACGTCACTCATCACTTGTATAGCATCCAACTCTGCGTCCGTCAACTTTGATTGACCAATCTCTCGTTGAAGATTTGTTAACACTTGAGGACCATGACCGGTGCAATTAATATCTTTACAGGCATGTTTACCGAATGGCACTTCTTCCAAACTGTTCTCACTTCTTGTGCTGTCGACGTACGTTAAAAGACGATAATGATGATGATGATGATGACGATGATGATTCGGTGGAGCCGACGAACGAAGTCCGCAATAACAATGGCTTTGTACGTCCTGACTAAAGTCCAATTGATCCTCGTCTATTATTATACCTGAAATTTCATCTAAAGCTTAAATCGTGACTAGATATCTAGATATTTAGATATTTATTATTATTATTATCATTATTATTATTTTTTTTTTTTTTAAATAATATGTAATAACGTAAATCCAATGACACTGGGACGTTCACAATGTTTCTTCCTTGACGATCTATTTTACATACACAACTTAATGTTAGTCATCATTTTTATTTCATATTTGATTGATTCATGAGATTCGACTATGACCGATGACACCCCGATAAAGATCGTACCTTCCACGAACCTTGTACCATTTCTATGTTATATTAGTTACGTTAATGAGTGATTAATTAATGTATTCCGATTTAAGAGACATTTTACAACGTTATTGAAATAGTCTTTTGGTTAAATATTCCACGATACGACGATAGGATTTTTTTTATGTCAATTCATCTTTCGAAGATGGTTAACGGATGGAATGTCGGAACACGATTATGATTAGTAGATACACGAATAAGAATATCGATAGAGGAATGAAAATAGAGAAGTGGGGCAGGAGGAGGGGTATGAGAAAAACATGGACGAAGTAAACAAATGAACGTGACAAGGACGGATACTCTTTCCCTTTTTTGCCTTTGATTTCCAATTTCCCATAAAGTTAAGGTTAATGTTCCACAACGATTATCGCAAGTTTGTCATTTTTAAAAAGACAAGGTGATAAGAGGAGGCTCGCGTTGTAACTTGCGCTTTCTTTCCTCTCGTTCTTTCCTTTTTCTTTCTTTCTTTCTTTTTTTTCTTTTTCTTTTTCTTTTTCTTTTTTTTTCTTTTTCATTTTCGATGTTTCTCGGCCAAACGATTTTTTTTTCCACCGAGAACGATGGGATTTTTAACTTATCAGCAAAATTCTCATATCCCTGGGCAATCGTCGATCGATGGAATGTCAATGTGAAGCTTCGGCGAGGGTCCTTGCGACGAGTGTCCTTGAGGAACAAGGAATCCCGTGCCTTCGGTTTGGTTAAGCGGGTTGAGTATCACCGGAACAGATTTCGGCTCGCTAGGAATTTTCCTCAGGCTTCCATCTACGATAGATCCAGCACCAGAAGAATCAGACGAGGACACGATCGGATCAACAAACGTGCGTTAAGATTAAAAGTGAAAGCGAGCGTGCGATAATAAACGTTAATGTGAAAGCAATACGCAAGACGTACTCGATTATTTTCTTCTTTTTTGTTTGAAAATGAATTAACATGAGGTTAAAAGCAAGCTATCGGTCCTAGGGAAAATCGTTTGCATAGAGAGAGAGAAAAAGAAAGAGAGAGAGAGAGAGAGAGAGAAAGAGAGAGAGAAAGCAAGAGAAAGAGAGGAAGAGAAAGAAAGAGTGAGTGAGAAAGACATATCTATCTATAAATCATGTTAGATTTTGAAGCAAAATAGAAATAAGAAAGTACTTACTGTTCCCTTGACGAATCTCATCCTGAACCCTGTAAAAGTCTGCGAGCTCTCTACCAGAGCAGAGGGGAGTATCGACTTGCGTGGTGCTATCGAAGAGAGAATAATCCACTTCGTAACCTTGCCTTTCTTTCGAATACATCACCATTGGTTCGAATCTATGACCCCAGAGTATCTCCTGAGGCAAATAGCTGGATCTTGCTTGAGTGGTTTGACCGGTCGATTCGATGGTACCCTCTAATATGACAACCACTTCGAATCTT